TAGAGTGGAGGATTGGATCCATCTAGCTCCATCCATGTGATGAGAGCCACAGAGCAGGCCTCCTGACCTCAAGGGCTCATGTCTAGCCCTCAGGTATCTGTCTTTGAGGGCCAGGCCTGGAGCATCCAGCAGGGCAAGGTCACCTGGTCCCAACTATGGACAGGCTGTGTAAGACCCCCAGAAGGGGGCTACAAGTGGGGGAAATTGAGCTTGCAGGCTTCCCGAATGGGTGATGACAAACCAACATCCTTGTAAAACCTGTCTGGCAAAGATGAGAGGTTTTTAAGAGGATTGTAGTCTGCCTGTTATGAAAAGTTCAAAATGTATGACTAAAGCTTCAGCAAATAGAAACATGTGGTAGGAAGAACTCCTAGCAGCCCTGAACACGCAGGAAAGCCGAGGAAATCCAGGCAGCTCTCTTTCCACTGTCCTTAGTTAGGTCAGACATGACATTGAAAACAAGTTGTTAGGTTCAACAGTAGAGCTATGTACATGAAAGTTTGAGTAGTTTCCTGTGTTTATCAGTGTTTTTGGCAGTTGATGAGGGTGTTGAGTGTGCGAACATTATTCACTAGATTATAAGTGCAATGGAGTCCTGTCTCCTTCCTTTCTAGTCCTGAGACTGCTGATTACTCAGGGTAGGAGAGACTCCATAAATGTCATTGCCTAATTACTCAGCCCGGATGTCAATTGAAAAGCAAGTACAAATCAGCAAATCTTTTCTGTAAGTAGAGGATAAAGAGGTAAATGCTCGCTTTTGCTTATCTTATCCATAGTCCCATTTTTCTGAGTCAGTGGGCTGCTGTTATGAAATGTGTCATTCTCACTTGATTCTATCTACAGTTTGTCAGCTCTACTGTACTTCACACCAACACAAATGTGACTCCTCAGGACAAATATTTTGGTTTGCTTTTATTGACTTTTATGAGAATCTTAGCATTGCATTGAAGTCCTAATCCTCCTTTAGTTCAGGCCTATTTTAACCTCTGTCTGGGGTGTCAAGCTGTGGAACCCTAATTAAACCCATGGGAGACTGCAGCACAAAAGGGGGGCCAATAACGAGGCATCAGCCCTTTCCGTGGGCTTCTGTATGGCCAGGGGAACTTAGAAGTAACCTTATCCTGTCAGCTCATGAGGACACAGGGCCCAGAGAGACTGAGCACCCTTATCCCCATGGCTGCTCACTGGCCGGTGGCTCAGTACTGCAGTTAGAAGCTAGGAGTGTTTGGATGTTTCCAGTAAGTCATGAATCTATGTTATGCTCATTGTATGTATGTGTATGTTTGTGAATCCTGTCTCATGAATATTCTGTGCCTGTATACCCACTCACACACACAGGCCACATACACGTCTTCTGGTCAGTGTTAACAGGGTAACAGTCAGTGTTAATATGCTCGGAGGGGACTGTCACACACAGCAGCTGGTCAACAGGGTGGTGGTTTCACTTTACAGAGTCCTGCCAAAACCACCCTTATGCCCCACTCAGGATACTCTGACCACATCGTTTCTTCTCTTTCTGTGTTAATGCCTCAGACTCTCTTGAGAGCAGAGATCCATTTCCAGAAACATGTCACCACTGTTTGACAGGTAGGAAGCTAAGCAGTTATGTGTCAGGTCGTCCTGGAGGCTGAGGTGAGAAAAGCTGATGTGCACCACAGGGGAGACTTGAGGAGACCCTTGGCTGGTGGCACGTCATATGCATGATGGCAGGGCAGCACCATCCCCAGAGGAGAGCTGTGTGCAGTCTTAAGAGTCACTAACGCTGTCAGTGCAGGTTTCTGTTCAGCATCAGCACTGAAATAAAGCCTGATAATGCATATTTCTGTCTTACGTCAAGTGTATTCTAAAAGCTTTGGTATTTTTAAAAGTTATCTTTGGAAATTTATGGAAGAGTTTACCAAATACAGCACATTTGGTGAGGGGAAAAAAACTCAGCTCTGAACTAAGGGTGCCTTTGTACATTTCATGTACCTGATCTTTCAGAGACTCCTTGGTTTCTGTTTTTCATGGTATGAAGATGACTTGATTTAATATATTTAAAATTTTATAAACATCTGACTGCCTGCCTTTTGTCAAGCAGTACACTCTACACCCAGAGGTGGTGTTGATGGAAACTTACGTACCATGAGGAATTCACATTCTTGTTTTTCTAGATAAGGAAAGAACCTAAACTTGTGATTCATTCCTGAATGTGTGACTAATTGGTGACATTGAAGGGATTATAAACAAAGTTACGTGGCCTTAAACCAGTAACACTTTCCAGTTAGATAACGTGTAAGAAGGAAATTCTGAAGCACTATGGTGGGCATGATTTTTGACTTTTGGAGGAGCAACAGCTGATGGTTAGTGGGCAGCTATGCTGGCCTATTCTTGTGCCTGTTCTTGACTTGGGCTCAAGTTGGCCAACATGAGAATGAGAATGGTTTCTTGGCTGTGGATGGTGTCATGGCTCGGAGTCACATTGTGTTTCCATGTTCCAAGCCTCAGTATCTTCCTGTATGAAACATTGGTAAAAAGCATATTTAATAGGACCATAGCAAAAATTAAGTCTACACCCAAAGCAAATGTTTAGCAGAGTCCCCAGCAGATACTAGAAATCCCCGGGACTCCCTGCTGCCATCAGGGACAGGGAAGGCTTCCCCATGGGTTTCCCCATGGATAAAGCAGGATTGATTTTGCTGAGGATTCTGATGCACCAGTGGAACACTATCTGTGATTGTATAATGCATTTTAAGATATTTTAAAATAAAAAAAAGATGTTTTAAAATACAGGTCCTGGTCAGCACACTTGAGGAGCATGTCCCTGCTTTATTGTTTCCAAAGGGCAGTGGCATAAATAAGTGCTAAGCAGTCAAGTCCCTAACCCTTTTAAAAGAAAATCTATACAAAAATAATTATATGTGGTCTTTGGGTCATGAAAAAATGTATATAATTTATGGAATAGAGATTTGTCTTTTAAAAACATGGACATATACACACACATGTCCAATTTAAGACTGATTATATTAAAATAAATGGAAGTTTATTTTAACTTTAATGTAGGTATAACCACAGAGGTTACTTTTTATTTCTTGTAGTTATTTCAAAATAGTTCTTTTTGTATTTTTTTTTTTGAGACAAGGTCTCACTGTTTAATCCTGGCTGCCCTGGAACTCAGTAATACTGCTGCGTCAGCCTCCCAAGGGCTGGGATTATAGATGTGTATCACCATTCCTGGCATATAGTCTTGATCAGGAAACATTAGTGCTTACAGTGGAAATTTTGAACTTTTGTCAACATAGAATAAGGTAAACAAAGCAGAACTTCAGGCAAAAATATATGTTTTAAGCATAGCAGAAACAAACCAGTGCACGTTGGCTGTAACCATTATTAACGTAGATGGCCTCAATTCATCAATAAAAAAGAAAAGCAGAGTGGAGCAAGAAACAAGATCCATCAATATGCAATACACAAGAAACACATTAACTCAAAAAGAAGTTCATAGATTGAGTCAAAGGAGAAGGAACAATGTTCAGTGGAACAGGGAACCAGAAAAAAAACAGGGGTAGCTTGCCCATTCCCAGAATGGATAAGAAAGACACAGCATTTTTATAGGATGGAAAGCTACTCAGCTATAAAGGACAACCACAAAGCTCTTGTAGGTAAATGTATGCAACCTGTGATCATGCTCTTGGGTGAAATGGTTCAGACGCACATAGGTGAAAAGATGTTTTCTCCCTAGTATTAAAAAAAAAAAAAAAAAAAAACGGGAAGAGTCAATGGGATCCAAAATGTGCAGTAGATTTTGTGAAAAGTAAAAGGAAGGAAACCTCTAATAAAGGAAAATGGTAGCCATTGTTAACTCTGTATTATTTTAAGTCCTGTATTGTTTTCATTGTTTTGTTTTGAATAGTATTGTTTGGTTTATTTTATCTGGTGTCATGGGCAGCTATTTTGAAGATAATAAGATATATTATGGTAGCCATTGTTCATTTCCTGTTGTCTTGTTTTGAAGTCCTGTATCACTTTCACTGTTTTTAAGCTATGACTGGTTTCATATTGTTCTATTTGACTTTATTAGGTCTGATGGTATGGGCAGCTATTTTTTTATTTTAAAAAGGGTAAAACTAAACAAAACAGAACAAAGCAGATCAGAAGCAAAACAATGTAACACAGATTTCAAAGCAAGACAGCAGATCTACAGTGGCTACAGTGTCTCTTTTCTTATAGTTGTTTATATCTTCACACACAATGAATTCATATAAAACAAAATAGTATAAAACTGATCAGAGCAAAGTAATGAAGGCATTATAGGCCTTCAAAACCAGACAATAGGAAAATTAATAATGACTGCCATAATGTCTCTTGTTCTCTTCAAAATATGGGCAGCTATTTTGAAGATAACAAGTGACATTGTTAGCCATTGTTGATTTCCTGTTACCTTGTTTTCAAACCCTGTATCTCTTTCACTGTTTTGATTGGTTTTCTTCTGTTTTATTTGGTTTGATTTTAATGTCTGATGATATAGACAGCTATTTTGAAGGTAATGAGGCATTATGGCAGCCATTGTTGATTTCATATTATGTTGTTTTAAAGTCCTTGTATTACTTTCACTGTTTTATTTTGTTTGGTTTTATTCTGTTAATTTTTAAAATTAAATATCTTAAATTTAAATGCAAAAAATATGTTTTTAAATATTAGAGTCTTTACAGATCTAATTTGTTACGAGAATTAAATTGAAATATGTAGGAATGATTCATCCTTTGGGGAAAAGCTAACTTTGTGCTATTGGGAACTGACTTTTAAAAATGGTACTTTTATTAAAAAGGATTAAATGAACTCAAGACAAAATTTTCCACTTCTAAGCATAAAAGCATAGTTGTATATTCTGATTTATTTATACCATCATTGCCCTTTTAAGACATAAACTTTCATGTTTTAATCTCTTCATTTAAAATGGTCTATCACCAGCAAAACCATCTCAATTGAAATTATAATGTTGTTTCCACTTCTTCCTCCAGATGATGAAGCATGCCTGGGACAATTACAAACTTTACGCCTGGGGACTGAATGAGCTGAAGCCCGTCTCCAAAGGGGGTCATTCAAGCAGTCTGTTTGGTAAGCATCTCTCTCCACTGGCCTGGGCTCACAGTTTGTGTGATATAGCAGAGGTTTGCATGACATGGCCAAGGTTTGTGTGACATGGCTGAGAGTTTGTGTATCATGAATGAGAGATCACATGACGCAGTGAGTTTGTATGATGTGGCAGAGGTTCCTGTGATGTGGTAGGGGTCTGTGTGAGGTGGTGGAGGTTCCTATGTCACAGTGAGTTTGTATGAAGTGGTGGAGGTCTGTAGGGTGTGGTTGAAGCTTCTTGTGATGTGACAGAGGTCTGTGTGACATAGAGTAGGTTTGTGTGACGCAGTTTGTGAGACGTGGTGGAGGTTCCTGTGACTTGGAGAGATCGTGTGAGGTGACAGAGGTCCGTGTGACATGGAGGTAGACCATGGGATCTGGAAGAAGTCTGTGTGACTTGAAGCTCTCCAGGACTGGTCTACCGCCAGGAAGCGTAGTGGCCTGATCTCCAGGCTCAGGCATCATATCCTCCTGGGCCACACATAGGCTGCGTGGTGCAGCGCCCTGTGCGACCTGAGTGTCTGCTGTAGCAAGTGCGGTGGCGGCCCCAGGGTTTACGCTCCCGGTGCCATGCCTGATGAGGAGCACCTTGTGGGCTGCGCATTTCCTGGAGGGAGAAGCTGGGACAGTGGGCAGGCTGACCGGCGTCCGGGCCGTGGTCCCATTAAGGGGGATGAGGCGGGCCTGCCAGTCATCTTCACACACTCTGAGGCTGGCGCTTGGGGCTGTAGTGCTGCAGGCCTGGGTCGCCTTCCCTCGGATCTTTCCTCAGTGACTCACTGTGAAGGCCTGGGCGTCTTTCCATGACTGCGGCTCTCCACAGTGCGACTCAGGGCAGCACCGAGTGAAGCACAGCTGCCTGCGCCGTCAGGGCGCCCAGTGCGGGCGCTCCAGAGGGCTGGTGGGACTGAGCTACCCTCCAGTCCAGGACTGTTGGCTCCTCTTCCGGCGCCGCTGTGACGTCACTGTGCCTGTGAGGCACGGCTCCTCTTCCGGCGCTGCTGTGACGTCACCGTGTCTGTGAGGCAACAGTGCGCTCAGCGTGGAGGACACTGTGTTAGCCGGCTTGCAGGGACTGGGAGGGAGGAGGCCATGGCGAGGTCACTGAGTTTCCCCAGGGGACAGGAACTGAGGAACAGAGGCTCGCAAAGGAGCGAGAAAAGCTCGCTTCATGCTGAACTAGAGACCTCTATAACATTTTAAAAAATACCACCGAATTTTTATCTATACAAAAGTTGTTCTATTAAGAAACCAGTTATGTATTAGCCATAATTTTACCAAATAGATTGTGATTCTCTCAATATATTGATGGCTTCAAAATTTAATGACATAACTTTAAAAATGTACTGAAGCTGTTTTTGCCTTATTTTATATGTCATTGAGTTTTTAGGTAAAAATGTTTTTCATAATCCAGATAAAAATTTTTCTTTAAAAAAAGAACTTTGGATACTAGCATAAGGAAATGAAATATTAATAATCAAATGGTATTTAACTTACTATCAGTAAGTATAGTATTTATGTTACTATTGATAATATATCAATTAAAATAGACTACATGAGGATTTTCTTATTGTAGTGATGCCGGTGCACTGAGCCTCATTACAGGGAATACAGTCTGTACATTCTTGTAGATGAGAACTTTAAAATGACTTTTGTAGCCCACGTTTGAGCCTTTCTGTAAATAGTCTTTGTGTTCTCTCAGCAAACCGAGTAAAACACAAGGAAATCTTAAGTCCTTTGCCCCCAAGGGTTTCTTGGAGAAACCCTTACTTTGGGATAGGTTGCTCTGAGTGTCCCCCTCACACTCTGGAGGCAGTGTTAGTCCTGAAGAACCTGAGTTTTCCCAACCCTTCCTCCAAGGTGTCTGTCAAGACCTTTCCCAGTGAGACTGGAGAGGAAAACTGGTGACTTTTTAAAACAGTTTAATGAACATAGCAAATTACCTCAAATATTCAGCACTTCACAATTCTGCTTAACACAAATAGAGCTGTAAGTTCAAATTTCAGAGACAAATGGTTTTAAAGGGAAATTACGTACTTTAGGGTGGTTTTCATTTTTGGAGGCAGGGCTTTCTGTGCAGTACAAGCTGGCCTTCAACTTGCTGCCCAGGCAGGCCTCCAGCCTGCAGTGATCCTCTTGTGTCAGCCTCCCGTGGTGCCGAGATTCCAGGTGAATAGTGGGGCTGCAGAAGTCACTTAGGAGATCTCTCACACTGGGCTGGGGGAGGAATTTGTTCTGGGGTAACTGTGTTCAATGTAAGCTAAAATATAAGAAATGAAAATCTTTAAAACTCTTACTGAGAAATGAAAATAGGAAGCCGGTGTCATATTTGAAAATCATATTTCAAAATGTTTCTTTAAAATATCCCCTTCGTGTTGACCTGAATCCATAGTTCTTTTTCAAAAAAAAAGTTATATTTTAGGGAACATTGAATTACAATAAAATATGCCATGAAATGAAAACGTCCTCGGCTTTTTCTTGTTATCATCAGGTCGAATGTGGAACTCTTTCATACCATGCAGGAAGCTGAGTGTTGTAATACCCGAACACTCTCAGCCTCCTGAAGATAACTGCTTGCAGTGTGGGCTTGAAGGGACTTTGCTGGGGAAGTGAGTTCATCTCCATGGCAGGTATGGCCTTGACCTGGCCACCACACGTGTCATCTTCCTACTTGGTCACTGGCCTCCCAGGTACAGGCATCTCTGGCCTATCCATCATGTGGGTTCTGTGAGAATGGGAGAGATGAGCAGGACAGGGTGGCCATGTCCTCAGGAGGACATAGCCCAGGAGACACACGCCACGACAGGGTGTGAGGAGGACCAGAGCAGCAGGGGAAGAGGCAGAGTCCAGCCAGGTCAGGTCAGGCCCGAAAGGGAGTGGGTCAGCCAGGCTTGAGGCCAGCAGGGCCCTCTGCTCGACCTGGCCTTTGGCTAGGTCTCAGCCACGCATAGTCAGCTGCAGAACACCCAGCCTCTGGGTGTTAATGGAGCGTCCAGAGCATACAGTTCACTTGCTCTAAGCTACAGGCCCTCTGAGCAGGGCTTTGAGGTCTGATCCCACCTGTGAGTCCTGGCCTGGGGGCAAGGCATCCCCTTGTCCACACTGCACATCGCTGCACTCACAGTGCCATTAACCCTTGGGCAGCCATGGCAGCCAGACTTGGGTTTGGAGTACTACATTGAGCACTTTCCATGGCTCAGGAGTAGGGATGCTGGCAGTGCCCCAGACCTGGAGGAGCCAGCTCAGTGCTTTGTAAGGCAAGAGGAGGGACGAGCCCTGCGCTGGGGCTGCAGAGGGCCACAGTAAGAACCAATCTTCTCTGCATGAGATTGTGAAGAAGGAAAAAGGCCCTTAGGAGTTGCAAAGTCGCACCTCAAGCTGTTTGGCTGTGGCCACCCCATGCTGACATTTGCGGGGGCAGCAAGCATCAGGTTTGCATGTGTTCAGGGGTGAAGCGAGAGCCCTGGGCACAGGCCAGCAGCTGTGTCCAGTCCACCGTGTGCCAGGTCACTGACTGTGGGCAAGAGCGCGCACCAGTTTCTCCTCAGCACTCTGGGCGGACAGGCTGTCCAGCTACGATGTGCGGGCAATCCGGGCAGGTGCACTGCGGCACAGCTCCTTGACAGCCAGTGTGTGTCCTCTGTTGCTCTTCGGGTCTTTGTTGCTGGAGAATGCAACCTCAAATGACATTGCTAAAACTTACTTTCTACAGCTCAGAAGAGACATAAAATATTCTGTGTCATCTTCTGCAATAATATCTAATTTGGTTTGGGGACATATTGTTTATTTTACTTCCCTGAAAGAATTTTAAGCTGTGTATAGAATTACTAGGTACGGTCAGTTTTCATATGTGTATGTATTTTATTGAACAAACATTTTTTTCTGGTATTTTCAGGTAACATCAAAGGAGCAACTATAGTAGATGCCCTGGATACACTTTTTATTATGGGAATGGAAGATGAATTTCAAGAAGCAAAATTATGGATTGAAAAAAATTTAGACTTCAATGTGGTAAGTTACTTAAAAGTTGCTAACTTAGCCCTCAAATCTTAGTTAACTTGAATACATCCGTATTGGGGTGTATTACCTCTTAATAATGTATCCCTGTGGGAACAATATAACTTTAGTATTGTTGTCAGGAGGATGCGCCTGGTGATACACACCAGTAATCCCAGCACTCTGGGAGGCTGAGACGGGAGGAGCAAAAGTTCCAGCCCAGACTGAGCAATTTAATGGTGTATTGAGACCCTGTCTCAAAACAGAAGGGCCAGGGTTCCAGCTGAGTGGAAAAGCTCTCAGTTTAATTCCCAGTACTGCAAAAAAGAAAAAAATTAGTATATTGTTATATTATATTCTTTCTCTTTTTAATGTTTTTGTCAAGAATAAGAAAGGACATTACTATTTATTGAAACCCCCCACTGTGCTGAGCCCTTGAACTGCCTGGGAGACAGAGGAGAAGCTGGGTGCTGAGGTCCTAGGACGGGGCTCCCCCTATGTTTCTCCCCTGTGTGAGGCTCAGGCCTCCGCAACCCCTTCCTCCCAGAAGCTCTGAGCTCTCACGTCCTAGGCCCCTCTGTCAGCACTCCCCATGTGGCAGCATCCCCAGGGCCAAGCTGAGGGAGATGACAGCTCTGGTTCTCCTGGGGACCCTGATAGGAGGATGTCCTTTCAGACCAGCTGGGCGCTTCTTTCATCCTTAGTGATGCTGACAAGGATCTGACTTAGGAAAGGAAACCTGTTAGCCCCGGCTTCTGGGTTTTAGGCCTTTGCTTCTACTGCAATGGTGGTATACTTTTCAAGACATCCTCGTAAGCCTCTGTGTGCTGCTCTCTGCTGCTCCATTGTCCCCAGATGGAGAGAGGACACCAGGACCGCTGAAGTACGAAAGATCAGCACAGCAGACTTTCATGTCACCCTGGCTTAGAAGCATCTTTAAGTCTGTGTTGTAGTATTTGGTTCCTGCTTCTGTAGTTAACTGCTATGTGTGTGTTACATTTGGGAGACTTTATGGGCGGGTTATGTTTAAGGTATCTGACAGTTAACACTAGGCTATAAGAGATGATATCCCCAAAAAGGAGATCAGCCCTTTTACTTTAAAGATGAGAAAGCAGGCAGAGGGAGATGGTGACGTGCTGGGTTTGTCGAGTTACTTGATCAGAGTCATCTAGGGGAGTTCTGCTCAAGCGATGGAAAAGTTTTCTTTCTGTGAGTCTCCCTCACCCAGCATCCTTCTCTAGAAAGGGTAGGTGATTCCTGCAGAACCCATCAGTGAGAGACAGCAGGGCAGACTTTAGTAACATCAGACTCTGCACAGTGCCAACAGCAGCACAGTTGTCTGCTCAGTTTCCCCAGACACAGCAGTTTTCTTTGTTTCCCTGCCTGGTTTCTTCCTGGGCAGCTCTGCACTTGGGGGCTGGGGCTGGAGCTGTGGAGGGCGAGGGGCTGTTTCATTTAAATGACTGAGGAGAAGTAGCTAAGGTGAGAGACAAGATATCACTATAGCAAAAGGCAGCCAGCTGTTCCCCACCACACCACCTCAGGGATGTGAATGGTTCTGTGGACCACTTGGTCAGAGTGGCTCTAGCAGGAGATGTCAGACACGCAGCAGTGGGAAAAGTCCCTTGGCTTCCTTGTTTGATAAAGGGATTGGACTCCCACTGGGTGACTGCTAAAACACTGACCACCTTTAAAGTTCTCTTTCCCTAAAGTTTTACTTTTTTAAAAAGATTTTATCCAATTCCTCATCAGATTTTGTGTATATACATCTCAGGGCTGTTAATTGTAGTGTTGGGGCTGTGCCTTGAGGGTGATCATTATGTACTACAAACATGTACTAATAAAAAAATAAAAATTGAACAAAATGTACTTGTAAAAATCAGAGCCACAGATCTCATTTAAAAGTCTTTTTATTGTGCAGTTGTTAATGTCAGAAGGCTTGATGTCTATTTGTAGCAGCTCTTTGAGTGTTGCCATATTTTCTTTTTAAAAAATTTACCAGTAGTATACAAGTGATAGTGCTTCCCATATTAAATCTGTCTAAATTCAGAAAAGGCATATTGATTTGTTCTCAGTCCTTATGTTTTGGAGTTCTTTAGCCACTGTTTATTACACGTGAAAATTTGTCATATAGCCACCCATACACCCAAAGATTAAACAAGTGTCTCATGATTTTGGTTACCAAATATTTGAGGATTTTTTCCCACTTATTAGAATGCAGAAGAAATTTAAAAAAGCCTTAGCAGAAAAAAAAAAGGATCATTCCAACTTTGTTGCTTATCTTTAACACTTTTTTTCTGATAAAGTATTTTAATTGACAGTGCAAGGATATTGTTTAAAAAGGATTAATGAATCCAAATTTATTGCAAGAGAATGAAGATGAGAAGGAAGCAGAACAGTACTAACCACTGACACTGAGTTTTACCCTATGGTACTCCTAAGTATAAACAGTCTAGTGTTAAGAGTAAATTTGTCGGTGTACAAAAGACTTACCTGCACCCCTTAGAAGTATGTGTGCCTGTCATGGGCTACTGACATTGCCAGAGCTGAAATTTATTTTCCTTTCATTTGTTTTGTGTACTCATCAGCACCAGTAGCTTTAACAACTGGCCAACAATCAGCCAGTGGATAATATGTTGAGGGTTGGAGCAAGGACTTCATGGCCAGAGCTCTGTGATCAGCCAAGCCATCTACAGAGGGCGGAGCTATTGAGGAGACCCTGGAGGATTTTCAGGGTTTTCATTGATACACATGTGCAGTACGTACTGCTTCCATCCCTTGTTTGATGTCGGTGCGTGTACACAACGCATCTTAATTTCTTTTTCACCCCCTTCTTCTCCTTTCCCTCCCCCTCCATCGCTTGATCCCCTTTCCCTTTGAGAAAGAGCTCCCTATTTCTTTTTATCTGTCTTTTATTTTGCTCTTCGCTTACCCTTCGGGTTTCTCATAGGAGAGAAACTACCTGATATTTAAGCTTGTATGTCTGATTTATTTCACTTGACCTTGTAGTCTTCCTGCAGGAGTTAAAGATGTCACATTACAGTGATGCGTGCATGTCCATCTTTATATGCAACTCATAACATGTGCAACTCATAACAGCCAAATCTTAGAAGCAGCCCTTGTGTCCATCAACAGATGAATGAATGGGTAAAGAAAATGGAATCTTTATACACAATGGCATACCACTCCTCCAGCAAAAGAGATACTGTAAACTGGAGTCATTTGTAGGAAAAATGGATGCACCTTTGGATTTTAATGCAGAGTAATCCTAGGACAAAAAAAAATCTAGACTGTGGCATGTTCATTCATTATTCATTCAGCCCTCCAGCGTTTACCAGAATCCTTCAGAGGAGCCGTCAGTTACCGTCGTGGAGCCCCTTGTCTCTTGTGGGCAGTGTGCAGACCCCCTTGCTAGGGCTGGGCTGTCCATAGAAGGCCCAGGAGGAGTCAGTGACTATCTGAGATAGTTCAGGCAGCTCGCTAGCAGGCGTCTTTGGAGGTTAGCTTGCTTTGTCACAGCCTCATAGGCTAAGCAGTGTGGTACCATCGCTATTTTTTATAGATGAGGATGTGATTGATTAATCTGCCCAAAACTATGCAGCAAAGCCTGCGGGTGACCCAGTTTTGTTGGAGAGGAAAGTCAGTGAATTGAGAAATATATAAGTAGCCAGAGAATCTTGAGTTATCTAAGGTTAGGGGTTTGTCTTACACAGAACTCATCCTCAAGGATCACTTCGTAGCTACTCAGAAAGTCCTGTGAAATGGATGAGAAGCCAGCTGTCCTGTCCTGCTTGTCAACCACGTGCGGTTGACTCAGCAGGAAGGCTTGCAGACAGCACAAAGTGGCTGTTACCGTGTCAGATTTTTACATAGTTAGAGATGCTCTGCAGCTCAGTTGCAGTTGATCTACCTGTTTGGCTGAACCTACCTCCCAGACAGATTGGGCTGTGGCAGTTCCTCTTGTGGGAAGATTATGACCTCAGGACAACCGAAAATGATTAAGGGTTTCCGGGAGGGCATTTCGCGGTGTAGCTGTGGGCCTCTTCTCTGCTGGCTCCTTAGAAGAATCAGCTCCCTAGATCCTCACCTGAGAAATGCTGAACACACACTTCAGTAGTAGTTTTATAGAATACGTAGAATGTGGAGAAGTTTCTCCAGGTAATTTTAATGCAAATCCACTGTAAACACAAAAGCTATATAAAAACTACTCTTAACACTCTTTCTACATGAAGGCGAATGTGCTGGTGTGAACAGAGGGCTTTGTTTGAGAAAGACAGTGGATGATGGTAAGCTTCTCCAGCTGTTATGTAGCAGCATACTATGCGGTGAACTGGCCCGCCTCTGGGCTGTGCTTCTGATGGTAGTGGATACTGTGTTTCAGATAATTGAGATTCTTGGTGGCAAAGCGTGTCTTTAATTTATTTTTTAAGATCTATTTGCTTATCCAGTTGGAACACCATCCTACTTTCCATTACAAGGAAATAAGCTAAATAAGGGGTAGCACTCCCTCTCTGAAAGCTGTGTGTTGACTTCAGGAAGCAGCCCTGATGTTCTTACACAGCTGAGTGAGTGCTGGGCTCCATCCGGGGTTCTGTGCCACCAGGCTTGGAAGAAGGTGCTTTGCTTTGCTCTTGGAAAAGATCTGTTTTGAAGCAGAGTTATATCCCAACGGGTGCAGATAACTAAGTTCATTATTCTGTCGAGAAGTATTTTTTCCACGGAATGCTAAGACTACCTACCAAAGTGATCTTTTGGGGTGTGGATGTAAGAGGAGCTGTTGTCTCTGATAGGTTAGTGATAGATTTGGCTTCTGTTGGCCATCTTTCCCATTGCTGGGATAAAATACTGTGCCCAGCCCCCGTGACATAGAGGACATTTTTATTTACTCAGTTATTTACTCAGCCCATGGTCAGCTCGTTTGCACTCTGGGAGGCTGAAGCAGAGGACTGCAACTCAAGCCCAAGGTGGGCAGCCTTGTAATTTACGGAGACTTTGTCCCAAAAGACAAAGCCAAG